TCATAATGGGATGACATTGCATTGCAAAGTACATAATTGCAAAATTAACTTCCAAACTTTGGAATGGCATTACATCACATGGTTGTAAATTCTAAGTATTTCATTGCTGAGGCTAATAGCACTAAGGGGAAAATCTAAACCAGTAATAGATGCAGAGATGCTTCTAAGCCATTATTTAGTGAATCCTTTTATTTTGAGAAGTAACGATCTCTCTTTGCAAAAATGGATTTGCAAAAGCCACAATCCAATACAAAGTTTAAACCCAACCAATCAATGGTTTTAAGTACAGCTAACAAATTGTGTTGGATTGCAGTCACTGAGATTCTGGAGCCATGAATTGTATCATCATTGTGAAAGGTATAGCATATTGTAAGACAAATTGCTGAAATCAACAAATTGAGCAACAGTGGTAGATTCCTTTGTGTGTGAGTGTGTTTGTGTTAATTTTTGCTGTTTTTAAGTTCTCTCTGTTGGATTACACCACAAAGTGTCTGAAACCAAAGATTATAAAAAGCTGCTGGTCCTTTTTCATAAACTGTTCAGCTGCATATTTCTGAGATGCTTTTTAATCCAAATCTGTAAAGGCAAAAACTTGTTATTCTTGTCATCTTGGATCCTAAATCATATTTGGCATAGGAACAAATGAATGTGTACAAATTACATTTTGAGTACATTCTTTTTAAAATTTTATATACATATATGGCTTTTACTTGGCATAAATAACACAATCGTGTATCATAACTTTCCGTTTACTTACAATTGTAGTATTTAGCTTATGAATGCTTTCAAGCTATTGTAAGACTTGAAAATTATTTTTGATCTTTGTTAAAAATTGCTGTCAGGGCAAAAGTGTCCAGAAGTAATCAAGTATTCTGTCATCTTGGCTGAGAAAATCCATCAGAAGTGAAAATATGATAGAAAAAAAAGCAACACAATATGGCAAAAGGATATTGCCGATTTAACTGTGCAGGATCAACACCCAATATTTTTCCAGGGATGCTAAACCTCTTGTAACTGCTAAATTGGATTTGCAGCTGAATGAAGTATCAGCTGCTGCTGGACATGCCCATAAAAACAGGGATGGCTGGCCTTTTGTAGGCAGGGCTTAGAAGACAATTGATATGTTTTTGCACTTTTAGGATTATTGTGATTAAGAGGAAACCACTCTGAATGATAGGGAAAAGGGTGTAAAAATGCACAGCCCACAGCTGGTAAGCAGCATGTGTTTGCTACGAGGGGAGGTCAGGACTAGTTGAGCCTGCTGGTTGTCGTGTTGATTGACAGATACAAAAACTTGATATTATGAAGCAGGGATTGCCTTAAAAGAACATGCCTTTTAGAGTTGGGAAAGCAAATGTATCATAGTACTGTAAATGTATTTACTTTGGTTACTTGTCTTGCCATGAACATTAGAGCTGTATGATATTTAAATACCTGTAAAAATCTCATTAAGAGAGAGAAAGAAACAGAAGCAAAAAGTGAACTGTCCAGGATTTTGAAAAGTGCCTCCTAATTATGATTTACACCAACTTCCACAACTAATATTTATATAAAATAGACTTTTCAATAATAGCATATTAGAACAAAATACTAGATATATGCAAATTACATTTTGGTGGACTTGCAAAATTATTATCTGGTAATTCTGTGTGTGTGTGTCATGTATGTAGGAGAGAAGCCTTCAGCAGCAAGGTGTTTTCTTTCTTTTTGTAACTATTAAGAACACCTGCTTTGGAAGCATGAGTATTGTTTTGTATCAGCTTGCACTCTCTCCCCCTCATTTGGAATTTAGCTGACTGTTTTAATTCAATTTAAGTTTTTAAAGAACTGTTTGAATTATTGCAAATGTGCATTTAAATGGTTGGATCCCTAGCTCCTCTCCTCTTTCCTTCCTTCTTTCCTTTTTTTTTAAAAGTGAGGCTGTACCTCTTTCAAAATTTGAGTTTAGCATACCACACAGGAAAGAACACAAGCTTGCCAAGTCCTGCTGAGCGTTTTTTCAAGCCTGTGAAAAGAATGAATTATTCAGCAGTAAGCATGCTTACAGCTGGCCATTTGGGAGCTTTGATGTGCGAATCAGGCGGTTGCATGAATGCCCTTATTGTCATGTTATGTGTACACAGTGTGTGAATTATTGAAAATAGTGAGGCCTGAGCCTCATCTGGTAGAGATTACAGTGCAGGCATGCTGGGTGAAGGTCTGTAATTGAAAATCCCCAGATGCTGTTTATTTGGCCTATGTCACATGACCTTCTGCAGTAAGCTTGTCTGAACAAAACGCTGCCTGCATAGGAAAGCAAGCGCCATCTCCCAGTCCCCCAGCCCACCCCCTCGCCTTTCCCTGTAAGCCTTCTTCTCAAAACCCATGATGGGGATGACCTAACACCTGCCTGTAATATTTTTAAGGGCTTAAAAATAGATTTGGTCCCCAGCTTTTAAATAGCGGGTGTCTTATTTAGTGGGTGAAACTGTTTAATCAGTTGTTGACTTTTATCTACAAGAGGCTTCTTGTTGGCTAATTTGGATTTAAAGCATCGTCCTGCCCTGCCCTCCCTCCAACACACACACATGGAAATGCTTGAAGAGGTGTTTTCCTTCATATTCACTGAAAGCTCAGTCTTATTTGGCTCTGAGATGCTGAAATCTTTAAAGGCCCAAGGTGAGGGTGTTCTGACCTTACCAAAATGAGTTTCCAGTGCCCTTTGAAAGTCTGCTGCTGCGGGAAAGCCCTTGGACACCACTGCTCCAAGTGCCACTGAATTTTGTATTAAAAAGCTATGAAAACATTGACAAGCTCTGAGTGAGGATTTCAAGCAACAGTCACACGATTCCTACTCTCCTGAATAAATCTGATGTCAGTCTTTAGTAAAATTCTGAGTATGGAAAAGTTCATTCTTGGATTACCTCTTTAGTTGAAATGATTTTTCTTGTCTAAATCCTTGAAGTAGCTTGCATCAGTTTAATCAAAAGCTTTCTGTTTAAAAATTAAAACCATGAAAAAGAACCCATGATGTGAGTGTGAAAATAAAAGAAGAGGTTGAGGGCAAAAACAGTATATTGGATTCGCAAGATCAAAAAAATCAAAAATAGTATCCCGTATGTAGAGATTATTAAACTCATTTAACCCTGTGGAAGAGGACCATTCAAAATGATGAAAGTCTGAGCTGATTTCATAAGTAGATTTGTAATGAGCCCTTCTCCAGTTTCTACTTCTCACCCATAAGTATCATGGAGGACAGTTGGTTTTAAATAACTATTGTAGTGTGGACTATGAATCTTCTTCACCTGGGAGTAGCCTGAACATGGTGTTTTTACCTGGCTCTCCTTTTCTCTTGGTATTTACTGTGCATATGACGCTGCCAAGCACAAGTGAGCATAAAGCTTGCTTGTCTGCAGTACATGTCTGGTACTACTAACTCTTGTCAGGTTTTCAAAGAAAAGATCTTGTATGGAAAAGGCTGAAATAGAAATGGAAGATATTCTAGACATCCTGAATATGATCCCAGAGGATGAAGTTCTGTGACAAACAGGAAAACATCCTATTTACCAAACAAAGTGTGTCTTCTTCATCCCTTCTACACAGACCATATTGAGGATTCAAAAGTGACAGGACACATAGTTATATACAAGTGACCCAAGAAATGAGGTTGCATTAGGCCATACATACTGCGACTTCTGTTTTCTTTGGCATTTTCTTGATTGCATATTATGGGAACAGGCCTAGTGTTTAGCTACAAATATATTAAATTTTAATAGTGTGTTACAATGGTGGTTTGCTATTATTGCTGGTATTCATTAAATGTATCAATTAAATAAAATAATAATAAAGTAATTGTTTATTTTTTATTTATCATTCTCATTTATCATTGCAATTTTATTGTTGTATGGGGTTTTATTTATTTTGCAGCTTGCCTTGATATGTCTTTTGGTCTTAAAAGTGGCATAGAAGTGTTTCAAATAAATAAATGAATGAAATCCATTGTTTCAAAGTATCTCTTATGTCTCTTTCTGTCAAGGATTAAGACACAGTCTGAACAATATTTTTTACCTGTTTCTTTGAGGAGAGACTGAGAATAGATATCAGGCCTGTGGTTTCCTTTCCTGCTTTCTTCATACTACAGAAGGAATGAATGAAATGTGTCTGCCCCAACTCTCGTTGAACATTTGTATTTTCATTTGTGGAGTTTTGTGTTGGAAGAAGAGTTTTGAAATGGACTTAATGCCCATTTTACTGCTTTTCTTCTTGTGTACATTCTTTCTGGGCAACATAGCACTATGAGAAATTAACAATACATTGTGGAGTTTGAAATTATTATTTTCAAAATCTTTGGGAAATAGTTACATTTCCAGATGTTGAGGTTTTGTTATCCTTTTCTCACAGAAGAGAGATGGAGGACGGATACACAAGCATGTCTTTCTTAATTGATCCTGATTGTGGCCTCTAGAAGAAATTTAGTGTTAGATTGCATATGTATTGCAAGTTTCTATCATTAGATTGCCAGAATCTGAATATAATGGATGTTGAAATTATCTTTTGAGTTTTTTCTCTATTTTAATGCTTTTTTCTTGAATCTCATTGCACATGCCAGTGTCTTTTGGTATTTAGATTGTAATACAATTTTAGAATGAAATTCTACTGTATTTTGAGAAATTTGCATTCAGGGAGGGGAGAACAGCGTGGAGTAGTAGAAGAGAAGGTTGGCCATCTGTCAAGGGTGCTCTGAATGCGATTTCCCTGCTTCTTGGCAGAGAGTTGGACTGGATGGCCCACGAGGTCTCTTCCAACTCTCTGAATCTATAATTCTAAGGGAAATCCATTTGCACAAGCAGATGTCTGCTCACACAATGTCGACCTTTTCCTTGAAATATGTACCTGAAACATTATTTTTATTAGATATTGTGTTTACTTCAAGTTTATATTTTCATTTCATGCAGTTTTGACATTGATACAATGCCGAATTGCTACTTTTAGTCTTCATTATAAATTTGTATTTCTTTCAGGTAGGAATGAACTGATAGCCAGATATATCAAACTTAGAACGGGAAAGACAAGGACCAGGAAACAGGTAAGATGAACGGCATAAAATGAGCATGTCAGCAAATCACAAAATGTCGTGGTCTTGGCTGCAGTGGCTTGCTTTGCTTCAGCAGTGGTTAGATACTATATTGCCTATTTAGTCTTTTGGATCTGCTTTCAAAAATCCTGTTGTTTGTGCTGTTCATCACTTCAGTGACAGAGGTTCCCTCACTTTTTGTTATAAACAGCAAACACTTTTAAAAATTCTGTTATATTGGCGAAAAGCTTGGAAATGTTAATCAATTAATTTCAGAATAAAATTCAAATGAAATTGATGATTAGTAGCTGTGATGGACCGGACACATATAATGGTTGCTTCTTAAGGTCTTATTTTGTTCCAAACCATTTGTACAACTCCCAAAAAAGTCAAACCATTCTAAGCAATAGATTTGGGAACTATAGTAAACAAATGCACCTAGTTCTTTATTTCGATTGGAGTGCACAGATCGCCTTGAGAGGAATCCCAGTAATATCTGATGAGCAAACTTGGTAACCTGACCCCAGTAACGGAAATGACTAAGAGGCTTTGAGACATGAGTAAATTGGATTTCATTTAAGAAAATCAGAGCCTTCAAGGCATTTGGAAAAAAAAGGGAATCTAGTGTCTGAAAACTAAAAACATTATGAAAAGGCATCAAAATGAATATTTCTCTCAGTAAAATAATTTATACTGCCTAGTGCAAAGTTATTAGGCTAGGCAGAGCCCAAGGTTACATGTTCTCTCGAAGTCCTCCTTTGTTCAAACCATTTGAAAGAAGGTCACCCACCTGATTTTTTTGGCAGAGGCAAACAGAAACTAGAAGATGCAGCTGGAAATGTTCAAACAAAGAACCTACCCAGATTCCGCTAAGAGGTGCTTTTTTGTACCTCCTGCATGATCTTTGACACTGAAAATGTTTCCAGACAAGGTAGATAGAGATGGCAATACGCAAGTCAACTTTATTCTTCTTCTAGGCTTTTAGATTTTTAATAAGATAGCAACATAATTTGCAATATTCAAATCAGTTGTGTCAAATTTGGGTTTAAAAGGTATACATCTTTTTTGTAACCAGCAGCCATATAATTGCAGGGAGAAAAGATTCTTGTTTAGGCCCAAACAAGCGTTTAATGGATTGTTATATAAATCTGCAAACTGGGATCAAAGTGGAAGTAAACTTGTTTTCTGGAGATTAGGACACAGAACAATGGATTCAAACTACAGGAAAGGAGATTCCACCTGAACATTAGGAAGGACTTCCTAACTGTGAGACGTGTTCAACAGTGGAACTCTCTGCCCCGAAGTGTGGTGGAGGCTGGATAGCCATCTATCAGGGGTGCTTTGAATGCAATTTTCCTGCTTCTTGGCAGAGAGTTGGACTGGATAGCCCATGAAGTCTCTTCCAATTATAGGATTCTATTATTCTAAGTGCTCATGATCTGTTTTTTCTTAGGAAATTCTAGACCAGGTGTGGTCCTCCAAACATTTGTGAACTCTAATCTCCCATGATCAGGGAAGAGTAGGAGTCTGGCAAGAGCTGGACAACAAAAGATTTCCTACCCCTTTCCTACCTTTGCTGGGAATAAATGTAGGTCTTTGATTTTTGGAATGGAAAGGTACATTTAAAATGAATACAAAACAAATTTTCCCCCTATCACACATTTTGAGGATAATGTATTGGGGGCGGGGGAAGCTTTTTCACATCATAAACCTTTTTGTAGTGTATTCTGGAAACAAAATACCACTGCACATGTGCAGAGAGCTTGAATATGTAGAGTTCCATTATACATGCCCAGAGCTAAATTAAAGAGGACATTTTAGCTTGTGGTGAACATTCCAGAATTGTGAGATAATGAAAAGTCATTTCATTTTTCACCATAGGGTTTCTTCTATATACGTTTATTTGCATATAGCTATGTTTGCAAATAAATTGCAAAGTTGTGTATATCAATATAGTTTAAAATAGTCAAATCTACACAGAATGCAATGCAGGAAAGTTGGGACCCCCCCCCCTCCTCCAGCACCAACCACTGCTCTGAGATCAGAGTGAAGAGAGGGGCCAGGAAGGCAGTTCCATCTTGCCTCCAGTGTCATCAGTTAGGAGCCCCCCCCCCCCAGCACCAACCGCTGCTCTGAGATCAGAGTGAAGAGAGGAGCCAGGAAAGCAGTTCAATCTTGTCTCCTGCACTGTGCTTATAATGTAATATAATATAATATATTGTATGTACATATAATATTGATACCATTACAATGTAATGCAATATAATACTACTACTAATAATATGATATTATAATTATATATTTTATATTAAATGTAATATTGCTAATAATATTATAGTATAATGTTATAGTACAATGTAATATATAATATTAATATTGTGCTATGGTAATAATATAATATATTGTATTTACTTTTTACTTGTGAGCCACACTGAGTCCCCTTCAGGGTGAGAAGAGCAGCATATAAATGTCGTAAATAAATAAATAAATAAATAAATATGTTAACCAGAACAAGCCAGCATCTACCTTTCTTCCAGGCATGAAAACTGCACAAGGCCCATGCCTTGCCAGCATTTAGCCATGGATTACCGGTTCTCATCCAATCAACCAGTGTGTCCAGCATTTGTATGACTATGTTGAGTGTAGATCTAATAGAGTTGAGAGTCATCAGAATATTGGTGGCACACTCCTTCAGACTTCCTGATAACTGCTTCCAGTGGCTCTAAGCATATATTAATCAGCACTGAAGACAAGATGGTACTCTGCAATGCCCTATAGGACAATTGCCAGGGGGCCAAGAAAACGATTCCCAATGCTGTTCTTTGAAGCCTTTGTAGGTAGGAGTGGAAATGCTGGAGTACATCTCCTCCAACTCGATGACTCTTGTGATCTCCTCCAACTCTATAATACCCATCCATAAACTAGGATCTAGGAGTACATCCTGATCAATGGTGCCAGATGTTGCTGAAAGATCATGTAGTAGCAACAAAGTTGCATTTTTCTTATTGCTTTGTATCTAAAACAAACAAATAATAAGAAGCACCTTTAATGTTTATTATTGCATATAGCTATTATTACCTAGATATTTCTGAAAGTGGCAAAAAATTGGAAAAGCTCAGGGAACGTTAGGATGTTTTCATTGATACGGTTTTTGAAAACTGAGCATGAGATACATAACAACTCAAATTAAGTACAGGCAGGCCTATATTACAAATATCCAAATTTACAAATGACTCATAGTTAAGAACGGGAGTGAGACAACAGGAAGTGAGAGAAATCCTCACCTGAGAAGGGAAATTACTCCTGAAATGATTATCATGGAGAAAAGGTATCTCCACTGAAGCTTTATCACCAATTCTTATTTCCACAGCAAGCCATTTTTTTTCCAAAATCCAATTATCAGAGGGACAGAAAATGAGGTTAAATTCTCTGAACAAGGGGCAGAGGCAGCAAAACAATCACCCCTATGCTATCCAAAGCATGCATTTATGTGTGTGTATGTGTTGTGTGTGTTTATGACACGTTTAAAATTACCTGTTCTGATTTACATACAAATTCAGTTTAAGAACAAACCTACAGAACCTATCTTGTTCATAACTTGGGCACTGCCTGTATACAAATATCTCTTTCTGCCATTTAGACATACACATTATTTATATTTGCCTAAGACACATGTGTCAAACCCCAACTCCAGCCCACCATGTCATTTTATGTGGTTTTCCAGATCCTGGACTACAACTGTTGTATTAGACATCATGACATCATTAGACATCACAACTAAAGCTAATAATAAATAATAACAATAAACTTTATTTATATCCTGCCACCATCTCCCCAAAGGGACTACAAGGTTCAACATATAACATAAACAGTACATGAGTATAAAACAATATCACATATACATTATAAAACAACCACTATCAACACATATAATATAAAATAAAATAGCACAATTTTAAAAACACAGACCATCTGTAAATAAAACTAGCTGCCATCAATTCACAACTGAAGTGCCAGAGTGTCACTGATGAGAGTTGTGATACAGTAACATCCAGAAAGCTGCAGTTTGTTCTGTTTAGTCAGGATAATGGGCTTTGAATTTAGATACAAGAGTTGTATATATGATGCTTGATTTTAAAATGTCCTTTAACCTTTCCCTAACCTCAGAGCCACAAATGCTGTTGGATTGCAATTCCCAGTATTCCCAGTCCTCATGGCGGATAATCAAAAGTAATGAGAGTCTTGCACTCCCCATTCCCATTCCCTCCTTTCCACCCCACCCTCCCAATTTTACCCAGACCTTTTCCTTCCTCTTATCCTTCCCTCTTTTCCCAACCCCCAATATTTTTATGTAAAAGAAAGTTATATTTTCAATAAAGATTATATTTTTTAAAAAGTAATGGGAGTTGCCATTCAGTAATATTGGATAACAACTGAAGACAACTGATCTTTATATAAAAATATCATTGGCCCTTTGTGTCAACGGATTCTCCATCCATGTATTTAATGGCCCATTGAAGCCAACCATAAGGTTGATGTGGCCCTCAGTGAAAATGATTTTGACACTCCTGGCCTAAAAGATGGTGTTAGCACAATATTACCCCCCCCCCTCTCTCTCTCTCTTTCTCTCTTGGTGGGGAAGTATCAATAGTGCTGCATTTGTTTTATTGGGTTTGGTTCAGATATCAATTCAGCCATGGTTAAGGAAATTTGACATGAAGTGTATTTGCAAACCATGACTCCTCCTAGCTATGGCATAAACTGGTGTCTCAGTTGACATACCTTATTTACAGCAGTTGCTCTATCTGCTGTGGATATGGTTTCTTTATATATCTGGAACTTCAACTATATGTTTTGGTTGGTGTGATGTCTGAGTTGAATCAGTTTCTTCAACCATGTAAATGAACATATGCACTGCTCAGATTTCCTGTTAGGAATATGGCAAACTACCTTAAAGTGATTCAGACCATTTGTCTCATGTTCTTTTTCACTGAGCTGTGAGCTATTGCCAAAAGAAATTGCACAGGGTCTCTAATTCAAGGGAAGCAATAAATAAAACTATTTTAGGAACTATAACTGAAATAGCTCATATTTTAAAGCAATTTTCTTGTGAGAGGTAACTCAGCACTCTTTCACCCTAATGGTTGTTCTCCACATTTAGTAAGTGTTCCTGCATATTAAATAGAGTTTTTGCTTTTGTATGGTGCATTTTCCTCTACCTTCATTAAGCAAAAATGTTTCAACTTCTCTTTGCACATTGCTTGTATGTGTTTGCCTCTCAAATTCGGGAGAAAAGCCTGCACAGGTGGAAATACTGTTCATGCACGTTTGAAAGAAGTAATCAAACAATTAGCTGTGCTCAGGGGAAAAAAAGAATTGTGTAATGTCCTTGAATTATGCAGTGACTGCTAGTCTATGTTCTGCAGAAATGCAAACTTTACAGTAGTCAGTTTATTCTCTATAAATATACTGGTAATACACAGAATCAATGTAATGCATTGATAAAGTAGATAAACAAAACTTTTAATGACCTATGTTTTACATGTGACCTGAAGAGGAATGAGAGAAAAGGACATACTAATGTGGCAACTTTGAAGAATCCTTTAATCATTTTAGAATTGTGTGCCATAGTTTCATGGACTTTTCTTCTGAAAAAAAGAAGAAGCTTGACACCACTTATCTCCTCCTAAGAGTTAACGGCCAACCTACAGGAAGAGTTCTGTAGGAGGCCAGTTTTAAAGCATACCATGGGAAGACAGGGAAAAATATGACCTAGAATGTTTGTTGAATGGGAAGTTACTGTACACATGTGCACTTTAAAGTGGCTTGTCATCCTCAATATTAAAGTGCACCAGTGCTGAGCTTAGGATCCACAGTTCTGCTCAGATTATGATCTTTTGAAACATGGGAATAAAGTTGAATTCTTAATTCCTCAGCATGGTCTTCTGATTTCTATTGGAATTACTGGGGAAGACAATTCCGTTTCTTCCACTGAAGAATTATTTTGTGGTACAGGCAGTCCCCAACTTACAAACAAGATAGGTTCTGTTGGTTTGCTCTTAACTTGAATTCATATTTCAGTCAGAATAGGTATATTTTTAAAGTGTAGCACTCTAGCCATGTGGTGTGTGTGTGTGTGTGTAAAATCATCATCATCATCATCATCATCATTTTAGTTTTGGACAGCATAGGGAAGGGTTCACATCCCTCTGGTGTTTGTTTTGCTGTCTGTGCCCCTGTTCAGAAGATTTCACCTCACTTTATGTCCCTGTGATAATTAGATTGTGAAAAAATTGGCTTCTTGTGGAAATAAGCTTCAGTGAAGACACTTTTTCTCATAACTCTTTTAGGATTGAATTTCCATTCCTAGGGGTGGATTTCTCTCACTTTCTGTTGTCTCACCCCCGTTCTTAACTCTTAGCCGTTTGTAAGTTGGATGTTTGTAACTCTGGGACTGTATGTATTTACTTCCATGTCACTCAGTCTAGACCAGTGGTTCGCAACCTGTGGGTCCCCAGATGTTTTGTTTCAACACCCAGAAATCTTAACAGCTGGCAAACTGGCTGGGATTTCTGGGAGTTGTAGGCCAAAACACCTAGGGACCCACAGGTTGAGAACACACTGCTCTAGACTATTTTTCAAGTCATTGGTCTGCAAGTTACTTATATAATAATATACTTTTTCTACTTCAAAGTTGTTGTACCTGCTGGGTTTTTTTAAAACCAAGACATACATATGTGACTGATGCTTTCTTCACAGTTATAGTAGATAATAAAAGAGAAAATAGGACTTGTTATAAAGAGCAAGACTTTTCAATTTGATTGGACTTCACTGTAAAACCCTTAAATGACTGTTTGATTGTTCTTCCTGTATGCATTTCATTATAATAGCATTTTTGTGTTCCCAACATGACTGTAGAGACCTCTTCTAGTTGCATAGTTTGCAATCTTCATTGGTTCCTCCACATGAACCAAGGAAGCCACTTAAAAAAAATCAATGAACAGAAGATTATCATGCAATAATCATGATCTAGGAGACTAGCCTGTCTCACATAGTCTCCTCTGTATATTACTCTGATTTTTAAGGATGCCAAATGAATATATGTAGATTAACGATTAACTGGCCCTGGTATGTAATCATTATTACTTACTCATCCATTGTGGTGTTGCATAATTGTTTTATCAAGTCTTCAAAAAAGAGAGACACTTGTCTAAGAATTTCGTAAGATTGTCCATAGCAGTTACTACAGTGTTCTTCTCTCTGTTTAAAATATTTATGTGCAGTGTTTATGTGAAGTTTAATGTCATTTCATCAATTGCAATAGAATATAGAATCACCAATTGAGTACAGGCTGTCCTCGAGTTAGAAACACTTGACTTACATATGACGTAAAGGGTGTTAGCCCTTCCTTATGCTATCCAAAACTAAAAAAAAGTCAGCTGAAATTACACTTTAAAAATGTACTTCTTCCAATTTACATCCAAATGCAACTTAAAAACAAATATACAGAACCTATCTTGCTCATAACCAAAGACTGCTTTTATACATTAAACTAGATCCAATGTAATTGTTTTGCTGATGACAGCCAACTCTGTTTCTCTTTTTACCATATTCCAAATATGTAGTCACAGCCATGTGTGCCTTAGTTGCATTTCATGTGGATTATTTTAGTAGGCTCCACATGGGGCTGTCTTTCAAAAGTGTTTAGAAACCTCTGCTGGTTGGAAGGGCTACACACAACACTAATTCTATACAGTTCCAGATACTATTCTGTCTTCAGGCACAATCCATAGTGCTGCTTTTCATCTATAAAATCTAAATGGTTTGTGTCTTGACTCTTTGACCAGTAGTGTTCTCTCATACAAACTTGTCCATGCCCTTACATGTTCAGATGGGCTTTTATCTCATGCCCTTCAGGAGAAGTGAATGAGGGCCTTCTTGGTGGTTCTAGACTCAAGGTTTTCCTAATTAAGAAAGCTAGATTGTCCTTGATCAGCAGATTGTTCTTAGGGATGTGGGAACCGTGATTATTAAAGAATTGGCTTTTAATAGGAGGCTATATTGTTTTTAAACTTTTTTGGGGGGGCTGGCCATGCACATTTTAAATTGTTCCAATGCTTTTTTCAGACTTCATTACATTATAATAATAATCTTGTTTTTGTTTTTATTTATACTGTGTTTTAAATTTCAAGTCCCATTTCTGGGCAGGAGGGTAAGGGAACAGGATAGAAATAATGGATTGGATTTAAAATATTTTTTTCTTCCATCTTTTTTAATGCTTAAATTCTGCTCCTTGCTAACTAAACTTTTTGTTTTGCTTTTGAATATATATATATATCATAAAAAAGCTGTACCCTTGAAGACTTTAAGAAAAGCATTTATGGATTGTTTTTAAACTCCAGACAATGCCCCACTTTCCCCGTGAGAGTGGGAAAAGTACTCTGAAAGTTTGTTCCCTTTGTCACTGCAGTGATGATCCTGTGCTTGGTGAGCTTCTCAGCAAAAAGTGGGGTGAACGGCTGGGAAGGTGGTTTCTTAACAGCAATGCTTGCTGAAGGTTCAGCTAACGTCCCCCAAATAAACTTTTTTAATTATTTTTTTTTGTAAATCATGATTTGATTTTGTGTGTGTGTTTCTTTTGTGTTTTTTCCCTCCCCTCCCCTTCTCCCCTCCCTTTCTATAATAACTCTGAACAATGTAGGTGTCTAGTCACATACAGGTCTTAGCAAGGAAGAAAGTTCGAGAAATCCAAGCCGCCATTAAGGTACGTTTGGCTTGCCCAGTTGTAGGGGGCTTTTCATCTCCATGGTTACAGGCTTTTCCTTTGTTTCCCTCCCTTCCCCTACCCTGCAGGTGTCTAGTCACATTCAGGTTCTTGCCAGAAGGAAATCTCGTGATTTTCATTCCAAGCTGAAGGTATGCGCTTTTCTGCTTTTGGGCTTGTGGTTGCTATGCCTTTCACTTCCTGTTTTCCCTGGTGATCGGTGAATGCCTGCCACTGTTTCTTGTAACCTAGTTTCCTTGCATGTGGTAGCTGTTTACACTTCTTTGTGTTTAATCTCTGCCTTTCTCTATGACTTCTGCACTAAGCACCTCTGTTAAATTGTTTTTAACATCCTTGGAAATGTGACTTGCTGTGGGCATGCATACTTTGTAGAAAAATGTGTGGTTCTTTCCACACTTTTAATAGTTCATTAGTAGAGTTTGTATTTTAAAAACCAAAACATTTCACTTAAATAAAAGAAAAGCTTTAATTGTACCCAAACACAATTTGCAGTGTGATATCTGAAGTTAGACAGTATAATTTTCTTAGAGTTTTGAGACTTGGGTAATAAGTTTTAAAAAATATATTTCCCAATAGCCATTACATTCCTAAACTGCCCTATTCCAATTTTGACTATGATTTTCCAGCACTTCTAATTTGCCAGATTTAGCCTTTATAAATCACTGTCCCTTCCAGCTTTATAATGTTCAGTCTCAGCAGAATCCAGCCAAACTGAAGTGCTATATGCTAGGACAAAGTCATGTCCTTTTGAAAATCTGTACTAACATCTTGGGGAATACTCTTGGCTGAAACCAGAAGGGCACTTGAATTCATTGTGCTGATTTGAGTGATTTCATTTCAGTCATTCCTTAAATAACATATCTTTTAGGAGATGCACCTTGACTCCCTTTAATTTATTAAAATAATGATGCCCTTTCTTCCTGTTTTTCAAGGACAAACAAAAAGAAACAGGAAATGTTTCATTTTCTCAAATTTTAATCATATACATTTTACATGAAATAATCCTTTGAATGTTTTAGAATTCTAGAAAAGGCATAAGTTTAAAATTGTCATTTTTAATGTAACACATAGTATCTTGACTGCCATGGATAAAAAGTTAACAAAATGAAAGTAAGTAGTAGTTTTAAAAAATCACTTAAAAGCAACGTATATTAGAAAGTGATTGCACTAGCCTAAGTGGTAAACACTGTGGATGATATTTGCCACAATTCTGGAACAGTAATATGTAAATAACTGGCTAGTTTTGTAACTGTGTCCTACTTGTCAGGAGCTTTGGGTTTTCAATATGCTGTGGGCAGCATGCTGGCAAGCTTGTATGGCTGTTGGTGGCTGGCTTTTGAGTTGCACTGGCTGACTGTTGGCAAAAAAAGAACCAGGATATAACTTAAATGTACTGCTTTTTTAACCCAGGGTGCAACAATACAGAAGGCAGTAGCATTTCAAACTGAAATTATCCAACCTACTGACTCAAATTAAGTCACCTTAGCTCATGCTAAGAAAATTAAACAGTATACTGACACTTTGTGCATGCCTAAATTTATACTGGGCACCTGCAGTCTCCTTTGGGGAATAAATTCAATTACTTAGCATGGACTACCTGCTCAGGATTGTATTTGGGTCACCTATTCTGAGGATAACAGCATTACCGTTCTGGTGCAAGGGGAAACCATAACAATATTTCTCTTACATACACCTAAAATATTTAAAATACAGATCTTAAAGACTAAGTTTATTTCTTACTGACACACTTTTAATTATAATTAAGTATCCAAATGAAACACCATGTCCACTTTCCAGATGGACACTGCCTCTTTGCCTCCTTAAACTGAATTAAATTTGGTGATACTTTCTGTTGAATGTACTAATTCTGTAAAGTTTGCTTTAAAGAATTTGTGAACTCGTATCTTGAATAATAATTTCTGTCATTGCCACTATTTCCGTGTGTTACACCAGTGCAAAAAGGACAAGCTGCAACAATAAGAAGTGTTTTGTCTGTCAAGACATCAGTGAAAACTAATCCCTGAATATAAATCTTTTTCTTAGATCTCTTTGACACAGCAGCAAAGAAATAGTTCTCTAAAGTTATCAGCAAGGATAGAGAATAAGAATTGCCATTTATGCTCATGTACAAGTCAACCTTATGTTCAAATTGAGGGCAGGTTTTGGAGCCAAAAACATGGATTTTGATATGACCCATGGATAAGTCAAGGGTCACTCCTCAGAGAGAGGAAAGCCTCAGAGGGCCAGATGCCATTTCCCAATCCATGTATCCAAAAAGGCTACCTGCAGCACCATGGAAGAGAGGGTAGAGGGATTAGTGTTTCTTTTAGGTTCTCCCAGGATATACTAAACTCTTACTTTTGCCACTCTATTCAGAGAAGGGGGTGGTTCCTTTTTTATATAGGTTCCGTTTTGTTTTGTTTTTTAAATACAGTCTTACATTGATCCATGGACAAGTTGACCTAGTTTTTTTGGGGTTGATTTTTTTTACTAAAATTTCTAGACTTCTGCATGAGTATATAGGGTAAGAACTAAAAATTGTTTTCAGTGATGGATACCTGGTTATGCAATGGGAAGTATTCTCCTCTTTCTATAAAATCTCCTTACAACCACTTCAGAAATGTGCTTCTTGAGAATGGGCCAACCCTCCAATCCTTTTAGGGAAATAGTTCCCAACCCTGCTGGAAAGAGTCATTGCTAAAGTCAGTGGTACAAGATTCATGACTGATAAAAGAAAATAAACAAATAGATGATTTTCCTGCCACAAGCTAAAGGGATTTTTGCCAACTTGGGTGGTTTTAAAAGGGGGTTGAATAAGTTCATATAGGATAGGACCATTGTTGTTTATCTGTTAAGATGGCTGTATATCTCATCCATATTACAGGCAGTTGCCAGGGAGCATGAGATGGAGGATATAGTTGCACCCATGTCCTGCTGTCAGGCTTCCCATAGGCAACTGCTCTGCTACTGTGAAAGCAGGGTGCTGGACTAGATAAGGCTTTGGCCTGACTGAAAGTGGCTCTTACATTTTTAGTATCATTTTATTGAGCAGAGAGTCTTACTCTTTGAATAGGCAAGAGAAAACTTAAAGTATTTATTCCGATCCTTTCCCAAAACGGATGATGGTTATAAAATTATTGAGCAGGTCAGAGAGGAAACAACCTGTTACTCAGAGTACTGAAAACAGAAATTCCTTCACAGACTGATTCTTCTAGGGAGCATCCCCTAATAGATCTTTCGGTAAAGCCACCAAGATTCTGGCAGAGCATTGTAAGTATTTTATAACCCTAAAACAAAAGATGAAATATTGCTGGAATTTCTGTGAATCTGCAACTCCATAACCATATTTGCCCTCTTTGTCAAGGTGATAAAGCAGAGATGGCTAATAAATGAAGAAACAAAGAACATAAAACAAAGGAAAAAAGTGTTTATTTTTGTTGTCTATATTTGAGGGTTAAGGAAAAAAAACATTGTCAAACTGTAATCTCCCTGCTCCAGAGCATTTGCCATTGGGTTTCTCTCTTGTGCTATTGCATTAATTGTATAAGTTGGTTTTTGACTTTTGACTTTGCACTTGGAGATCACTTGGTTGATTTTGAAGATTGAAAGTGACAAAGGATGTCTCCCCATTTAGTAATATTTTCTGTTACAATAATATGAAGTATTTATGTCAGGAGTTATCTTCAGTTTAATGACTTCTCTCTTCATGCATTGTGCTTGTGCCATTATTGTTACTCTCTTCATGTGACAAGTGATAGTTTTCTTATCTACAAGCATAATATGAGAATCACTCTCCTGAAATAGCAACGCATTCATTCCTCAGTATTTTGGTGACTGAAAATCAGGTACTTGATTCCTAGAGAACTGATGGATAATAGGCCGGAGCCCAACCCAGTCCCTACTTTGCTAGCCTCAACAGGCTAGATGATGTGAGGAGTGCAACCATATCCCCCAGCAGTAATGAGTCCCTGGATGAAGAGCTGACTGGTGCTTCAGCCAGCATCACTTCACCCTTTCCTTTCTTGCCTGGTGCTTATGCAGAGAGGTCTCTATAGCGGCCTATAGTAGAAGTGAGAAGAAAGACATTTTGGGTAAATAAAAGAACAGCTGAACAGCATGGCAAAAATTAGTAATGGTGTCACTAGTAAAAATACATTGACACTCAAATGTTACAAATAGGAATTCCATCCATATTTTTTCTTTATTTTGTACTGAATTAAAAATGAATTGAATGTCCACAATTATGAGGTTCATTTTATTAATTCTAAAATTATGGCATGCTACAAGATTCTTTGTAGCCTTCAAAATCACCCTTTGGGATCAAGTGCTTATTGTGGTTTTAACTTATGACTACTATCCATGATTTAATCAAAACATATTCTTAGACTTAAAGCTAATTCCGTATATATTTCACATTTTGTATAGTTTACATTTTAAACTTTGTATTGGGGCAAATGACTTTTGGTTTATAATACCTCAGAACATTAAGATCCGAACAAATTTGTATTCCCAATTTATCAACCTCCTCATTTCATACTGGTGGCATGTATTTAATATGTAGGCTGTTTGGCTAACATGGTGGGTAGTTGGATAAAATATACTGCGCCTACCCATGATATTCACACACATGCATGTTGTTTGCACCTGCAAACAGAGACTTGTGAAGTCTCTGTTTGGTTGTGATGTACATGTGGATAAGAAGGTATATTTGATCCAGCAATCCGCTGTTTCTTCTTGTGTGCCATGTCATATGAACAGTGGTATAGTTTCTGTCATTTAACTTCACTGTGTGCATTGATTGTCCAATCACCACAGGGCAAAGATGGAGAAAGTACAGCCTCTGGGCAGATGCAGTCCCCAATCTCACTTTTGTGTCCCTTGAAGCCCCCTTCCTGTCTCTAAAAGCCCTCCAATCCCTAACCTCTCATTTGGTAATATAGTTTTCTAAACTGCCACCTTGAATACAGCTCACTTTTTGTGTTCAGCAAGTAAAGAAGGTAGAAGCTGAAAAATGACACTCTGATAAAAAAAATACAATATAATAAACTGCAATTCAATGGTTCTCAACCTGTGAGTCCCCAGATGTTTTGGCCTTCAACTCTCAGAAACCCTAACAGCTGGTAAACTGCAA